AAGCCACTTCCGCATGAGTTCGATTCCCGCCTGCCCTGGAGGTGACCACATGGTGCGGCAGACCTCTCCTGACCCGCCCGCTGCTCCCCTCAGCACTGTACTTTATAGGTCTGCCTGTTCTGCTTGCCACTCTGTCTCTGGTGAAGCCTCTCGCCACCCCTGAGCCTCTGGCCTGTACCCCACTTCTATATGTACAAATAAATAAATCTTAAAAAAAAAAAACAAAATAAAAAACTGCCCATATAATTATATGACAAATTCACAGCCAACATCATACTCAATGGTAAGAGACTGAAAGCTTTTTCTCTAAAATTTTACATAGTTTTGGGAGGCCTAGCTAGAGCAGTCAGACAAGAGAAAGATATAAAAGGAATCCAAATTGGAAAGGAAGAAGTAAAACTATCACTGTGCAGGTGACATAATTACAGAGAAAAACCTAAAGGCTCCACTTAAAAAAAAATTGAAATAATAAATCAATACATTAAGAAGGCAGGGTGCAAAATCAATTTACAGAAATTGACTGCATTTGTGCATGCAAACAAGTTGGAAGAGAAACTAAGGAAACAATCTGACTCACAATCACAATAAAAATAGTTGAGTATTTAGGTGTAAGTTTAATAAAGGAGATGAGGACCTATATAATGAAAGCTATAAAACATTGCTAAAAGAAATACAAGGCACAGAATAATGAAGAGATATTCCCTATTCATGGATTGGAAGAACCAACACTGTTAAAATGGACATCCTACCCACAGTAGCAAGGCTTCTGTAGTATTCTTCAAAGAAGTAGAACAAACAATCTTGAAATTCATATGCAACTACAATAGAGCTCAAAAAGCCAAAAAAAAGCTATACTACAAAGCTGTATTAGTCACAAACATGCATATGACCAAGGATATAGAATTGAAATAGAGGGGAAAAAACCCTGAACATCTGTGGACAGTGAATCCATGACAAAGGAAATAAGATTCTGCACTGGAGAAAGGAGTCTGTTCAGTAGTGTTGGGAAAATGAGAGGGCCACATATAAAAGAATGAAACTAGATCACCATCTTACACCTTATACAAAAATAAACGCAAAATGAACTAAAGACAAAGGTACAAGACCTGAAATACATTGAAGAAAACAGGCAAAACACTCCATGATACAAGTTTCAGTGATGTCTTTGTGGGTTTATCTCCAACAGCAAGAAATACAAAAGTAAATATAAACAAACAAACTGCATCAAACTAAAAAGCCTTTACATAGTGAAAGAAACAGTATGTAAAACAAAGATACCCTACTGAATGGGAGAAAATACTTGTGCATTATTTATCTGGCAGGGGCTGATACCCAGATGTTTAAAGAACTCATACAACTCAACTAAAGAGAACAAGGAACCCAATAAAAGAAATGGGCAGGGGACACCTCTCCAAAGAACACATACAGTGGCAACAGGCAGATGAAAAAAGACTGATTAGGAAAATGCACACAGCCACAATGACATGCTACCTCAGACCTGTGAGAATGGTCCATATCGAAAGGACCAGAAACAAGAAGTGTTGGTGAGGATGTGGAGAAAAAGAATCCTTTTATGCTGTTGGTGGGAATACAGACTTATCCAGCCCTTGTGGAAAATAGTATTGAGGTTTCTCAAAATATTAAAAATAGATATACCATGTGATCTAGCAATTCCACTCCTAGGTATTTACTGAAGAATACAAAACACTAATTCAAGGGGATACATGCATATCTATGATCCTTGTAGCACTGTTTTCAATAGCCAAATTATGGAAACAACCTATGTGTCTAGTGACAAAGGAGTGGATTGAGAAGATACTTACACATGAAGTACTCAGCTATTTAAAAAAAAAAAAGATGAAATTTTACCATTTTTGACAATGTGGATAGAGCTGGAGTGGATAATTCTAAGTGAAATAAGTCAGAAGAAAGACAATACTAGATGGTTTCACTTATATGTAGGCTATAGAGGAGCACAACAGAGTCAGACAAAACTAAACCAATAACAAATCCTAGAAATTTGACTATGGAACTGAAGCTACAAGATGATAGGGGAAGGGGGTAAAAGAGTGGGGAGCCAGCACAGCAGCCTATGTTGGGGGACTGTGCATGCCTTGGTGATCAGATGTGATGCAGTGGCATGCATCTGAGGAGGTATGAGCTTGTCTCTGAATCACCTACAGTGTTACAAACCAGAGTTACTGCAATTTAAAAAAGTGTAGGGGCCTTTCTGGTGGTGCAAGGGGTTAGGTTGCACACTATGAAGCTGTATACAGCCACTGCAGCACCAGTTTGATCCCTGGCCAGGGAGCTGACCCACATGGTAGAGCAGACTTCACCTGTCTACCCTGCTCCCCTAAGCAGTGTATTTCAGTTGATCTGCCTGTTCTGCTCCCCACTCAGTCTCTGGTGAATTCTCTCATCCCTCACATCTCTGGCCTATAACCCAGTTCTTGTATGCATAAACAAACAAACAAACAAACAAACAAACAAATAAATAAATAAATAAATAAATAAATCTTTTAAAAAATGCAAATACATATAGTATGTCAATATGTAGCAGCAAAATTATATGAAATAATATTAAGTAGGAAAATAGAACACAAATAAATTGTATATATCTGAGAGTGGAGAGCATGTTAGCTAAAGTATGTCCAGTCAGAAAAAGACTTGCTTGCAAAATCTGTGTCTCTGAAAATAATTTTATGGATTGTTGACAAGTCTGTAAACTAAAATATGTACATTATGGAAATGGGCTGTGCGACAAACTTTCATGGATACTAAATTTTTATCCTTAAGCCCATATTTTCAGTTTATTGACTATTTTGCCCTGTAATTATATGATAGAAATGATATTATGTTGTTTGTTGAAGATAATACTGATCTTTCTATTTAGGATTATTTGTTAGTGTGATTACCAGGCTTTTCAATGGACAGTGATTGTTCCTTATTGCTTCTGCATAAATTTGAGTATGTCATTTAATACTTCAGTTTCCTCATCTTTGAAGGTAAAGATAAGAATATCTGAGAGAATCAAAGTGATAGTATATCAGAAAGCTTTCTGTTGCATTAAGTATTCTCAAAAATAGGAAACTTCTCTCTGGAGTTTTCAGATTTGACTTAAGTTCCCATAGTGAGTTGGGTCTTTCTATTCTAGAAGAATGGCAAAACCAGAAATCTAGAAAAATTTATTATTTGATAGTAGAAAACTTGAAGGAAATAAAGAAGTAATGGGGGACCTCCTTGGTGACCATGACTTTGAGTCTCAGCGCTATCATCCCTCAGGCCTGAGTTTGATCCCCGGCCTGGGAGCTGACCCACAGGGCACAGCAGACCTCTCCTGTCTCACCTGCTGCTCCCCTCAGCGGTGTATTTCAGTAGATCTGCCTGTTCTGCTCCCCACTCTGTCTCTGTTGAATCCTCTCTCTCTCCCTGCATCTCCAGTCCTAAACCCCAGTTCTTCTATGTAAAAATTAAAAAAAAAAAGTAACAAGAAAGGAGGATGACAGCGATGGATGTTTACCTGCATTATCCAGGTTCTGCAGTGGAGCTGTCTTGAGGTACTTCTGACCCGGAGTGGCTCGAATTATGCTTTCGTTGAGGGCATCGTTCAGGATGCACCTTTGTTTGATTGTCCTCCTAAAGGTGAAGTCTGCACTGCTCTGGAAGTTGTAAGATACCGATCTGGGCTGGATGAGTTCTATAACCATTGCCACAAGTTCAGATTAATGTCTAGATACCAAAACAGATGATCTATTCGTTCTTATACAAGCACTGAAAGCCGCCATGGAGGGATTAGGAATAACTGAGGTGAGGAAACAATCACCCAAGCAGCAGCAGAATGATTCTAGGATTCCTGATGTTACTTAATTTATTTTGCTTTCAAACTTTGGTTTCTCAGGCTTTTGCTTGGTTTTATTAAGAGATTACTTGTGTGACTTTGTCATGTTTTGGTTGTTTGGAGCTTTCTAAGAAGCTAAGGAGACTCATAGTATTCCCCATCTATATTTCAAATGCGTGTACTCTGAGGAAAAAGGTGAAGACATTAAGAATTATATGTCACTCGGGGTGTGGGTTTAAATGCCTGCTACCTAGTATATCAACAGCTTCACAAATCCTCATGGTTCTGAGTAATTCTACTTTCAATAATCTACGATTCTAATGGTGATAGACATGAAGAATTTATTGATGTGGATATTCATTGTTGCATTACTTATAATGATGAAAAGAGAGCACTTGGAAGTGTCCTTGCTAAATTGCTCAGTGAAAAAAGTTAGATATAAAAATTTTATATTATATGATCCTAATAATTTTAAACATCTATTTGTGTGTGTTTGTATATAAGAAAGACTTCCAGGAACAGACTGTGGTGTGGCCATGGCAAAGTTTGAGTGATATCTCGAATGATATTTATTTTGTTTCTCCTATTTTCCAGTTTCCTAGATGAACATGTATTAGTGCTGAGCTGTTATCTTAAAAAACCCTTATATTTAAAAAATACTGGCTTATGGTTTGCATGAAGGCCTGCACAGTAAAGACAGGGAGAAAAAAAAAATCATGACTTTTATAGTCAGAAAGAACTGAATTTGGTGAGACTCTCCTTCCTACACTGTATGTGACTTTGGGTAGGTTACTATTTCACTGACTTTAGTTTCCTCACCTCTTTTTTTTTTTTTTTAAAGATTTATCTATTTGTGCATACAGAACTGGGGTACAGGCCAGAGGCTCAGGGGTGGTGAGAGGCCTCACCAGAGACAGAATGGGGAGCAGAACAGGCAGATCGACGAAGTACACTGCTGAGGGGAGCAGCGGGCGGGTCAGGAGAGGTCTGCCATGCCATGTGGTCACCTCCGGGGCAGGCGGGAATCGAACTCATGCGGAAGTGGCTTTAGATTCTCAGTGGCTTTACATTTTCATTTAAGAGGTGAGGAAACTGGGCCGAGCCACCAGGGAGGGCCCAGTTTCCTCACCTCTTAAATGAAAATGTAGGATTGTTTTGAAGTTCAGAGATAATGATGCAGCATTACTAAATTAGTAGTGTGAGCACTAAAAATGCCATATTAGTAACAATAACAGCAACATTAAACATTTGCTTACTGTGCACCAGGCATTAGTCTAGTCCATAGTTTGGGAATATACTTTCCCATTTAAACCTCATATCAAGTAGAGGCTTGATTACCTCCACTTCAGTGGAGGAAACTGAACACAGAAGCACTAAATAATTGCCGAGGAGACAGTTAATATTTTGGCTTGGAAGTGGTGACCCACTGACATTACATAACTGCTTTCTGCAAAAAGGCTGAAAGTCACATGCTTTATAGCATGCTCAAGAAATGAGCCAGTGAGCCAAGAACCCCTCACTCAGGCCATCGCTGCTTCTCCCTGCTGGGGTGGGATTACATTTGTTTTTCTTTCTGTAGTTACCAGATTAATCCTGGTTGCCCTCTTGTTACTCTGACTGCAGGTTTTATTCCCCCCTATATTGTTTCAGTTTACTCAAATGTAAAACAAAGATATTATTGTACTGGACTCCTTACCTTCTGTATCCTTTGTAATGGCTTCCAGGTCACCATCAGTGATGAACTGATTTAAACTCAACCTTCTCTTCTTTAGAATCTTCCCGTTGGTTTTAAATACCACCACATTCTCCTTGAAGGCAAGCTTGGGTGACATAGAGGTTTCGGAGGTATTCAGGTACATAAACTTATCCCTGTAGTCCTCATGAAGCTTGTCATATCTTTCATGATAGAAGGATTTCTGTGAGGATGGACAATGGAAACTGAGGAACTGTCTGGCAACAGAAAGAGACTCTTTTCAGTAGGCATTTTATGCTGCAGCTTACAAGTATCTTCTTGGTTTTGGGTAACCCAGGTTCATCAGTTTTACCCCCCTCCTCTTTCCTCTATCTTTGCCTCTCAGCCTCCCTCTCTCCCCTTTCCTGTCTTCTACTCTCCCTCTCCTGTCCTTTCTTTCAGAATTGCCCTGAAATGGAATTGAGATCCCTTGGGAAGACCTTATCATTTTATCTGTAGACTCACAAATGAAACAGGTTTGCAAGTGATCTTAGTGGTCATTGGTTGATTCCCTCTCAGGAGGTTAAATATGTACTTGACAGTACTCAAATATTCTAGAGCTATTTCTTTATATAATCAGTGCCATAAAATGCAAGGTAGTACTTACACTGCTTATTTGTAAACTCCTAGCAAAGAGCACAGCTTAGTAAATAGCTGCAGATTTCTCATCTCAGTTCACCTGCTTCCTCCACCTTAACTTCATGTGCTATTACATTTGAAGAGCTCTCTCTAACCCTCGTGTTTGTGTCAGAGAGATGGCATGGCTTTAGGAGACAGACTTCCTACTGAAGTGACCCAAAAGGGCTAGCTTAGGATAGCATAAGTAACATTCTGATGAAGCTTGGCCCAAGAGACCCAGCTTTTGGGGTTTCAGGAGAGTTCTGCTCTATTCTGGGAAAAGCTGGTGAACATGAAGAGTGTTAATCAACTATTAGTATAGAAAGGCAGTTGGTCTTATAATGAAGAAAAACATGTTTCTGGACTTCTAGTGAAGATAAATAAAAGTATCGGGTGAAGAAACTACTATACAAGAACAGTAATCCCAAATAGATGAACTGAGTAAAACAAAAATAAACTTTTAGAATATAAAAGTGGGCCCTCCCTGGTGGCGCAGCGGTTAAAAGCACAGCACTGAGAAGCTTAAGCCACTTCCACATGAGTTCGATTCCCACCTGCCCCAGAGGTGACCCACATGGTGCGTCAGACCTCTCCTGATGCTTCCGCTGCTCCCCTCAGCAGTGTACTTTGTTGATCTGCCTGTTCTGCTCCCCACTCTGTCTCTGGTGAATCCTCTCACCCTCCGCATCTCTGGCCTATACCCCAGTTCTGTCTGAATAAATAAATAAATCTTTAAAAAGAAAAAAAAGTAACTAGTGGCTAGAAGAAGGGAAGGGGAGGAAGGGAGCTGGTAGATCAGGACAAAGGGAAAGTAGTATGGTGAAGGAAAGAACCGGACTATTAGTGTTGAACCTATTGTAGTTTATGCACAGGTTGATTTTCAGTAATACACTTGAACAATGTTGTAGTGCTGTGTTACTTCAGTTTTTTTAAAAAGGAATAGTAACCCCATAAAAATTATAGTCATTTTCCTAACTTACCTGATTCAGAGAGAGCTGGTCAATTCCACATCTGCATTCTTCATTTTTACTGTCAAAACAAGAGGAGGAGAATGTAATTTTGTTTGTTTGATCACTGCAGTTACTGGGCAAGGTATTTTAACGATCACATTAGCTTTGGGTGTAACACACACGTATCTACTACCATCATCTTTGAAAATTAAGGACTTCTTTACATGCACATGCATACAGTAATTTGTCCCTCACTAATTTGGAATTAATAACCACCAGGACAGGTCTTGAACTTTACCTGTGTTTTATATATAAAATGATGGCTTGGCTAAGAAATTAAAGAGATGTAATTGAATTTTAGGGGAAAATTAAGTCCTTGAGAGGAAAGAAGTACTTTTGGAGCATCTTTTAATTTTAACAAATTCATATGTTACATACATTGCCTTATGTATTCCCTGAAACAGACTGAATAATTTCTAGTTGGCAAAATGCCCATACAACAGTTTGATAACCTGTTAGTGCGTATTAATAGGTTATGGGAATACTCTGTTTGTTGAAACAGAGTAACTTTAACTTTTTATTCATTCATCCAAGAATTAAGTTTCACAGGGGATGCGAATCTACACGCTCAGACTGCTGTGGTGCCAACGCCCTATTCCAGATTGACATCGACATGTTTTCCTGAGAATGGCTTCTCTTGGCTTTTAAATCCCATCCCCGTATCAGAGGATGTGAACCCAGAATAGACTGTGTTTAAATAGATGGTGAAATTCATGAGGGCTCAGAAGGCCTTAAAAATAATTTTGATAAAATGACTCTTCCCCTGTCATCTTAGTTTAACTTGCTGAATGCATAGTTTCCCTGGGTCTTTGTTAACTTGCCCTGACTTCAGAGGTAGGACATGTCTCCGTCGGCTCTGCCAGGCTGGCCTCATTCTGGTCTCAACACCTCCTGTGTAGATTACCGAGTCGCTACACCCCACATTAAATCACAAGATATATTATCTATTTCCTACCTGTAACAGTTCTTCAGGTGTTCAAATGGGTCAGGGACTTTGGCCATCTTTCCTTCTGCAACAGAGAACACCAGACACTGACAACTCAGCTTGCCTCTGGGCAAGATGCCTGCGAGGGGAACCGCCTCCGCGGCGCTCTTGAGAAATTTAATGAATGACCTAGCCAGCACTCAGCCTGTTTGTTCCCCATACTTCTTTTCACTCCCTTCAATTATTTGTATATCTCCCCCTTCTACTTCTTTTAAACTCTGCTTTCTTTCTCTTGGTGAATGCCTTATGTGTGAATGCCACACATACTAGCCATTCAATGAAAGTTTGGATTATTGAAAACACCCCCACAACTGCCCAAGAATGAGGTATTTGCCTTACATAGGTGTGAGAGAGAGAGACAGAGTTGGAAATTTCCAGTTTTCCCCTAGTTGTTTTTGGTAGTAGAGTTCCCCCTTCTCCCCCCCAAAAGAGGATTCCCTGGTGCCACCAATGCCCCTATGTGGAACTAACTACCTCTTCTGTACCTCAGTTTCCCATCAATAGCAAAATCCTTTTCTCAGTTGTGATTCTCTCACACACCAAACCAGGCAGGGGCAAGAAAGGGAAGAAGAAGCTTTAGCTTCAGAGAAGGCAGTTTGAGAGACAACAGCCAAGGAGAAAACAAAAGATGTATTAAGAGCCAAAGATGTGATAATCAATACCTTTGCCGCCTCAGGCCCCAAAGAAATGATCCGTTCTTACGTTCTTACCGGCGTGCAAGCCTTTTGTCTTTCTTGAAGTAGGCGTGGCCATAAAAAAAAAACGTCACTGGAATTTACACGGAAGTTTTCTCTTTCCTATTTTTTTTTTTTTTTAAACCACGAGATCACATTCTCTCTCTCTCTCTCTGGTACAGGCCATCTCTGGTACAGGCCAGAGATGGGGAGGGTGAGAGGATTCACCAGAGACAGAGTGGGGTGCAGAACAGGCAGATCTACGAAGTACACTGCTGAGGGGAGCAGCGGGCGGGTCAGGAGAGGTCTGCCACACCATGTGGTCACCTCCGGGGCAGGTGGGAATGGAACTCATGCTGAAGTGGCTTTAGCTTCTCAGTGCTGTACTTTAACCCGCTGCGCACCAGGGAGGGCCTCCTATTTTCTTAATGCCATTTTGCAGAGATTCCAGGAGTCTCTGATTTCATTTACCTACTGCTTTGCTTAAAACAATTTTTAACTTGTAGGCTAAGAAAAAGGGAAGAAGAGCAGGAAACTTAAGTTTCTAAAAATATATGGTGGGGAAGGATGGGGAAACCCTTTATAATAAGAATTGCTGGAGAGAAGTTTAGGAGCTGCAGTTTGGGTTTTGGCTAAATTTGTTTATTGAACCCCAGGACCGTGTGTGAATTGTTGGAATACTTGGCAGCCTCTGGCTGCTAGGGGGTGGTTGGGGAGGGAAGAAGGTTTGTTTGAATAAGAATAAATCACTTTAAGAAGTGGTAAACCCTTGATTAGAGTAGGGTAGAGGAAAGAGTGGTTTTCAACCATCAAAGTCTTTACCCTCTTATTCCTCTGAATACTGTCTCCACCTTTGCTTCAGAAGTCACAGAGCTGCAGGAGAGAGCCCCCTGCTCTGGCCATAGATTAAACTCTTACTTTATAAAAGAGAAAACTGTTTCAGAGAGGGGATGTGTACTTCCTAGGTCACATGGACAGTTCACACAAGAGTGGGAATGGCAACTGAAAACTTGTGTTTCTGGATTTCATGTCAAACTGTCATACTCCTACACTGTCATTTCAATCTAGAGAACATTATATAGTAGACAGTGCCTATCAAATGTACATTTGCTCACTCTGGGATTGGTTGATTGATGTCTGTCTTCATTTCTGGCCTCCCTTGCACTTAGGCTGGGGCATGTGTTTTGTTCTGGCCAATGCACTATGAGCTGGCAGTGATATGTGATATGTTACACTTTTAGGCTTGATGCAATTAAGCCAGTGTTTGCCTCCGTCACGTATCTTCAACTATCCCTGATGCAGCAACTTTGGCAATCACGTGTTCCAGAGGAGGTGACTATAAATGGATGAGGTGTGGCTGCACAAACACGAGACTAGAATAACCTGCATTAGACTTCGCATGAGTAATAACCAAATCTTTAATTGTGTTAAGTCATTGAGATTTTGGAGTTTATTTGTTTTGTGGTATAACCTGACCTATACTGACTATCTGCAGTATGACTATCCTTCCCCTTTCCTCAGAATTTCTCTTTCATGTAATCTGTTCCTTGGACGGAATTGTGTCTAGATTAGCATTTATCTTAGCACATGTTTTACCTTGTGGGAAATGAATTTCCAATTAGGTGAATTAAGAAAGTAATTAGAATCTCTCATTTTGGCCAACTTTTGATTCCAGAAATAAAGTTAAATTAACTGTGAAATAATATGGCTAAAATTAAAGTTGGTACTGTTGAAGTTAACATTCCAGGTAAAAATCATCTACTAAATAATTTCATTAAAAATCCAAATTACATGATATTTTAGAGTTTTTCAAAACATGTTTTAATAAACATAAATGGAAGCATTCATTATGATGCAAAGCTGACTTATTATGCATGGAAGTTACTTAGTAACAAAGGTCCTATCCCCAGGGCACCAGTGCAGTTCTCTCTGCCCTCCTCCTGGTACAGACTCCCAGCCCCTGGGGATGATGGGCCCTGAGTTAGAGCATGTGGTCTAGGGCAGGAAACAGCAGGCACAGCCTTACTACCCTTACTAGTTGTGTGGCCTATGATAATTACTGCACATCTCTGGGCCCTCACTTGTCTCAACAAACTTGTAACTTATGGGGAAGACCTGTGCAATGACTATAATGTAGCAGAGACAGTAGCAGATGGGAAGGCAGTGACTGAAGATGCTGGAGAATGATGAAGGCTTTCATGGAGGCTGCATTCTAGTGGTGTTGTGGAGAGTTAACCTTGGGTATTGGAGAATGGATACTCCAGGTTGAAGAAATAGGGTGAGTAAAGGCATATGACATAACATTGCATGCCTGCATTTCCTACTGTGTGGTCTTGGGTTAGTTGCTTAACTTGTAGAGTTCTGGTTGCCTCACTTGTAAAGTGGGCTAACAATTCTTTCTTTGCAGGGCTGTGAGACTGTGTGTGAGAGTGCTCAGGTTCGTGTTAATTTCTTTTTCCTTCACCCCGGTGTCCAGCATTCTCTCATTGCTAGTTCTCTCCCCAGGCTGTTCCCCTCAAACTCATGGAATTTAGACCTTTTTAATGCATTCTTTCCCCTTTCCAATATAGAGTAAAAGTGCAGTTTTGCTGCAGGGAGTGTCAAATGTGGCTAACCAATAATCAGGTTATAGTCAAAGGAATTCTAAGAACTGAAGCTTATCTTTGGTGGGTACTCTAGGCTGTAATGGTTATTAAGGGTTTGTTCATTCATTTATTCACTCACAGAAGATGGGATTTTTGATCCAGGAATGTAGCTGAAACTGAGGACTGAGTGGTGATTTAAGACAAACACGGTTCTGAACTGCACAGAGTATCTTTGCTAACAGAGCCCTATCTTGCATATGTGGCCACAGTTCTGGCAGTTATTCTTAAAGAGGTAGTAGAGGATGGTATGGAAATACGTGAGTGTGTGTCTGTGTGTGTTTAAGCAAGCTAGTCTGAAAGGTCATGGAAAGTCTCTGAGAAAGCAACTTTCTCTGAGAAAGTAAGGGTAGGATTTATTTTTAAAAATCATTTATATATTTTTATATCATTGCTCATTTTTGTACAGTCTGATTTGTCCTCTCAGGTGTTGTCCCCATAAAATTACCATCACCAAGACATCTATATACCATCCCATGCTCTTCTACTCTGTCCTGATCCCCTTCTCTCACTCCCCTTCCTCATCATTGTCTTTAATTTATAGTTTGACTGCTAATTTTATCTTTTTTCCCCCCAACCCCTTGGATGGTTACCCTATGTTCCTTCTATAAGTGAAACCATCCAATATTTTTCTTTTTCCTTCTGACTTTTTTCACTGAGCATAAATCAGGGAGGGTAGAATTTAACCTGATGAAGGTGCCAATAGGGAGAGAGATTTGTGTTTCAGCACTGGGGACAGCATGTGCAAGGGCCATATAATGGTGTGTGAGAAAACTGATAAAGGGTAGCATATGCCTAACGAGAGAGTGAGGACACAAACAGAGGCTGAAGAGGTGAGATAGGCAGGGTCAGGCTTGGGCAACTGTGTAAGTATATTAAAGATAGTAGATTTATCTTGAAGGCAGTTTTGAAGTAATTTAAGCAGAGTAGTGGTAAAATCAAATTTGTGATATTTTTCTTCAATCAGATTTGTAAGGATTCTATATGGATTCTCAAGGGGAGAGCATAAATGCAGGGAGAAGGCTGTTGAATTAACCAGGTGAGAGATGAGGATGATCTTGTTAAGTGTATGTGGAATTTCAGTTATGAGAATGAGGAACCCCTGGTGAGTGCACAGCGGTGATGTGATACTGAAGGTTCTGACCATGATGACCTCAGTAGATTAGCACAGGAAGTGAGTGGGGTGGAAATGTCAGTTTGCTCTTCCAGATGGGAGTTGAGTAGAGCTCGGGCTAAGGGAAATGTTGATGGGGTCAGAGGGAGGGAGAGGGTCCAAGAGACCTCGATGAGGAAGGAAGAACTGACAAACCAACATGATGGGTATTGGGTATGCAGAGAGCAGAAAAGGGACTCAAGGATGACATCAAGATCTTAAGTCTGGGTAATAGAAATAGAGAAGTCTGGAGGAGGAAATGGTTTGGGGAGGAAAATTTAGGCTCCAGACAATTTGAGTCACCATTCCACAGTAAACTTTACCAGACAAAGATTTCCCAGATTTCCACATGTTTATTAGTTCTGCTTTGTCTTTGTGTCCTGGGAAATTTTTTTTTTCTGTTCTACTACTTTTTGCATTGCACACATGTAAATGGATAGTAGAACCTTATTACATTCCATTTGGCCTATACATTTTCAGCTGAACTGTCTCCATGGTTAGTATTACTTAATAATTGATGACACAAGCTATGCAACTTCTGTCAACTGACAA